TCACCCATAGTAGGCTAGCTAGTGCCTTACTCGTGTTTTGTGGGTTGCCACCAAGGCAAGCCAAATATTTTTCCACCCTTGCATTTTTACTATTTTACTCTTTTGAGTAATGTGATTGCATTTACATATATGTAAGCGCGTATATGTTCTTATCACGCAAGAGGGACTATATATTGGCTAAAAGATTAATCATTTTAACAAAATCAACAATTCCTCTCTATCTTTTCCATTTCAAAATGACTTTTTTCATCTTTCTCTTCACAATGCACACAATTATCATCTTTTACAGTGAGAGCTCATAAAAAAATCACTTTTTCTTTAAAATTTCCAATTCTAAAGGCAAATATATTACGAATAAATGAAATTTTGTGATATACATTAGATAACTACCTGAATTATAACCACTTGACTTTTAAGCAATAAGAAGTAAAACAAGAAGCAAAAGTCACTTTTGTATTAAGCAAATTTGAAACTTTTGTTTTGCTTCTTCTAGCTTGCAAATTAGGTCGTTGTAATCCAACACTCTATTGTATATCATCGTAATTCACTACAAGAAAAATGCAAATTTTCGACGAATCCATATCCATCGGAAAATTTATATTTTCTGATGGATTTATATTTTCGTCAGAAATTTTCGATGGAATTTTTCGTCAAAAATTTTCTGTCGAAAATTTCTGACGGAAATATAAATCTCCGATAGAAAATTTCTAAAGGAATATTTTGTCAGAAATTTTTGACGGATTTATTTTTTCGTCGGGAATTTCTTATTTTTAATTTTATTTTTAATTCTTATTTTCATTTTCTAAAATTGGAATTTTTATTTTTAATTCTTATTTTTTATGTAATCATTTTTTACTACTTTTTATTTAAAAAAAAAAAGATAGATAATTATCTTAAGTGTCACCTACAACAATTACGTACTATTATCGTATTGATATTTAACACCTTTAAATTTTTTTGTTTTTTAAAAAATATTATTTATCTACCTTAAAATAATCAAACTAGTGAATTTATATTTTAGAGGGATGAAAATCAAAGAAAAATATTTTACTCATTTTACAAGTAGGAAACAATCTTTATAAATCTTACGAGGATGAAAAATAAAGAAAAAAATTTACAAAGACCAAAATCAAAATCACCCATCTTATAAGGACTAAAATATATTTAAACCTTCTAAAATTAATATTTTCGATCTTAACAATTATTTTAAATAAATAATATTTATTTTTAAATATTTATAAACTACTTAGAGATGTTAGTATATTGTCTTTAAAATTATAGTAAGCAAGTTCAAGTGTGAATATTTTCATATTTGTGTGTTTCATGAGTTTTCTATTAAATAATTAGTGCATATATTAGTTTATTTAACATAAATAGTAGTTTTATATTTTAGAAGAAAAAACAAATTTTTTATTTTCTAGAAGTAATAAGCTTAAAATTACATATATATATATATATATATATATAATATAGGAGGTTATAATTATATCGGTATAACTTTTACTAAGTATTACGCCGCTCAATAACTTTTTATTAAATGTGAATTTTGTAAATCCAAGAGAGAATTTTCCAGCAGAATTTTCTGACGGATATTTCTGTCAAAAATTTCTGACGGAAATTCCGTCAGAAATTTCCGACGAATTAAATTATTTCCGACGGATTTTTTTTTCTGACGCCACTTTTTCCGACGGATTTAACTCCCGAAAATCCGTCGGAAATAATTTAATTCGTCGGAAATTTCTGACGGAATTTCCGTCAGAAATTTCCGACGAATTAAATTATTTCCGACGGATTTTTTTTTCTGACGCCCCTTTTTCCGACGGATTTAAATCCCGAAAATCCGTCGGAAAAAACAAAATCCATCGGAAATATACTCTTTTCCATCGAAAATTTCCGTCGAAAATTAACATTTTTCTTGTAGTGATTAAAAAAATAAGATGTATTTTAATGAGTATAGATTTAATTAAAAAACTGTGCTATAGTATTTACTTTAACATGCATTTTCTTGTTTTTCATTTAAATTAAGTTCACAAACTACACCATTAATATATTTTAAGATAATTTTTAGTTATAACTTATTATCGCATGTTAACTACAATTCAAGTGAGTGTATATTAATAAATATGAAGTCATTTTGTTTTCGTTTCAATAAATTTAAAATCCATCCTTTTAGTTATTGCAATTTGACAAAAAGGTAATTTTAGTCCCTTGTTAAAAAAAATGATAATGAACATATTGTATAAAACTTATTTAAATATTGTATAATGAAAGTATAATACTAGTATACCAAAAATAGTCACTACTTGTTGCAGCTAAATGTTAGTAGTATCTGGCAACGCAAATCCCAGTCATTTTCCACTAAGGAGGCACAGACTTGGAAGGAAGCATCAATGTTGCTTACAATGATGGAAGATATAATTATAAAATCATTATTATAAAAAATCTCAGAGCTTCGAGAATAGTAATGCAGTCATTCTCTCTTCTTTTTTCAGGTTTTGTTGAACTTAATCAACTTGTGTATGTCATCCAACGAGTGTGTAGTCACGTTAAAGCGAAGTGGCCGTTAGAGGCACATGGCTAAAAAATGGTGCATGCCATAAGATGAAACTCTACTACTAAGCACAAACAATTTTCACTCTCCAAATATCACTAATTACATTAACACACAAGGTCTTCATTAATTAACTATCAAATTCATTCATATAGTTAAACTATTTGGATTGGTGTAATACTTAGATATTTTATGCTCATAAATAAGATGATCTATTTAGTTAAGAATTTGAATTTGATATTTATTATTATTATTATTATTATTATTATTAAAAAAGTGTTATTTTTTTGTAATTTTTTTTTTTAAATATTCATAAATTTTTCTTCTGAATTTTTTTACAATAATAAATTCATAAAAAAAACTTGTGAAAAATAATTTGTAGGAATTTCTTCCATTTTTTTTTATAGAAAATAATCTACAATAAATTTTTGAAAATTTTATTAAATTTTTAGTAATCATAGAAATTTTTTATGATAAAAATTCATAAAAAATATCATAAGATTTTTTTTTCTTACGGATTTTTTTTGTGAAAATAAATTCACTGGTAATATTTATTAGTATTATAATAAATGGTAAAAAACAATTTATAGGTAACTGTTTTTTGTAAATTTTCCTGTTAATTTTAATCCGTAGAAAAAATAAATTAAAATTATTTACACTTATAAGTTTAAAATTAACATTTTTTAATTAAAAATATTATTTTAATAAATTATTTATAAATATATAACTATAATTAATTTTAATTTTAATTAAATTCAATATATAAAATTTT